CATTATAAAGAAGAATTAATATACAGTGGAAGCATGGGAAAAGAGTTGCAATATTAGGCTGTTCAATTCCCATACATTATAAAAAATGAATTGATTATCTAACACTTATTGAGTGTCAATCAATTTCATTTAAATCACGTTTAGTCGCATTAGGATTAATTATTTGGGAAAATCAATAGATTCCATTAGAAGTTTTCCCAGACTAATCAATGTATTGAACGATTTAAAAAATAAATAGTTTCACTTAACTTCAAAAAATTCTAGTTGCTTTTCTTCTAATTTTTTGGAATGTCAATAGATTTCAAAAGAAAAAAATGCCTGCATAAGATTTTAAAAAGTCGACTAACGCAAATAAAATGTGTCATAGATCCATTGCCTAAATAGAAGTTTTGGAGAAATCAATAGTTTAAATTAAAATACAGACAGAAGTCAGTTATTTCGACTTTCACTTTTGGAAAAGTGATAGATTGGATTAGAACTTTTGACAAAATGAGCCATCTATCTAAAAAAATATTGAAAAGACGACTGGTTCAATTGAAATTGATTAATAACCAATTGAATAAATAAGAATATATGAAAAAACAACATAATGTTTAACGGAAATGGTTAAAAATTCATTAATTCCATATTGTGCTATGGAAGAGAAGAAAAAGTCTATTGAAAATTTCGAAAAATAAAACTATCATATAAGAATTATTGAAACATCAACAGATGAAACCAAAATTTCTAAATGAGAACTCGGTTAGCGAAGAATTTCTTTTAAATGAATAGGTCAGAACAAAAAATTTTCGAAAGGTTCCTCAGTCCAATATTAGTTTCTTTGAAAAGTCCATAAACTGAATTGAAATTTTATATAACAATGATGAAAATCATCAACTTATTATTATGCACTGTTTCGAACATTTTTTAAATATAATTTGAAAAAAACTGATAATAATCTTTAATTGTGGCTCGTTTTCGATTAACTAATTTTGTTGATTGTTTGATTTATTTGTTTAAATAAATATTGAAAATGGCATACAATAGTTCTGTGTATCATTAAAACCAATTTTCAACAAATTAAAAAATATTTTTGCTAAAAATCTTTCAACATTTTTTTTTGTGAGGTAATTCGATGAAATAATGCATATTCCTTCAATGAACGATTACCTAATTACAATGGCAAGGTATACGGCAGATACTTTTACTGAAGATTAAACCTTGAAATATGTAATACTCGTTTGCTTCTTCACTCATATAAAAGATATGAGGCAGAACAAGATCAATTCATTTAATCATTTTTTAAAGTAAACAGAACGTCATCACGAATGTTCGTTGTTCTTGATTAATGGTTTCACCAAATGAGATAAGAAATAAAGCGTACAATGATTATGATATTCAAACGTTGTTTCATTCTTTGAATGTTAGAAGTAAAGTTGATGCTATACCGAGTTGATATGAATAAGTAAGAGTAAAAAGAAATTATTCAAAAAATAAACAATTGAAACGATTCTACATTATAATGTTAGAGCTCTTAGTGTAAAAATCAGAGAATGTATCTTTAATGTTAAATATATTTTAATTTAATCATTTGATCGATAAATTCCGAATACGTCGAAACGAAAAAAATATTATTTCAGTGAAGAAGCCATCTTTTGTTTTAACTAAGGTAAGTACATACGAGTCTAATTTTTTGGCTAGCACTACGATTCGCAGAATTGCGACTAAGATTTGCCGTTTTCGAAACTATAAATCTTCTCAATTGATAAGATATAGTCTTGAAAAGTATGAGATTAAAAACAATAGAAACTCGATTGTACATTTTAAGAAAAAAAAGTTAGACATAATGTGATTGATTCGATTGATTCAATACAAGAAATAGCATTAACTGTCAAAATACATCTATTGTTAAAAAGTAATGTCATGATGTTTTGCATAACAAAAAAATACCACAAATATCATACAATTCCATTCATATATTTAAGAGACTAATGTATTTAAAGAAAAAATTCTCTTTTGATAAAATAATAGTTTATTTCTTATATAGTTGGAAAACTAGAAATAAAAGAAAACAATATATCATGAATTTCATAAATGGGAGAAAATAAACGTTTTGACTAGAGATATTCTTATTTTGTAAGACAAATTTCATCTTATTTCAGATATAAAACATTTTACATGTAAAAAAAAGAAAAACCTAAATATTATATAGCCGATTCGATAATATTAAAACAAATACGTTTAAATTACGAAACTGTTTTCATGAGAGAGGAAGCTGATTTTTATTTTACAATTTGAAATTTAGAAAAAAAATTGTTTGATTTCATAATTGGAAAAACTAGAACAAGAAGCGTGATATTTATTTAAGAAATATAATTTAGTAAACATCTTAGGACTTATTTCGCTTTATTGAAAGAAATAAAAGAGATAGCGCAATCAATTCTATATATATTTAATAAAACGAAAATATTTTAATGAAAATGTTTTTTGGTTTGTGAAACATAGAAGCGTTTTAGCTTGTATTTAGAACAAAAGAAAAAGTATTATTTTGTCATTTGATTTCAAATTCGAAAAAAAATTCGTTGAATATTGTATGATTGATTTTATAAATTCAACAACCTGAACATTTTCAATTAGAGATTTCATTTTTTATGAAAAATGACTCATCTTATCTTAAATTTAGAAAAGTAAAAATAAACGGATTTCCTCGTAAATATTTAGATTGAATATTGTACGATGCTTCCACCACCCTTTTCTCGTCTCTTGCATTTAGGTGTAAAAAATATCTTATATTGTAAGAATATTGGTATATGATTTCTGTCGTTAAATGCTAAACTGCTTTATTGTTTCGATATCGATTTTCCAGATAAATAATGTGTACGTTATTTTTTTTTCGAGTTGTTACTATTGATCGTCTAATAAAATCAATTTGTCTTATATACTCGAATAATGCATCTCTTTTAATATAAAATCGCAAAATGAGAACTTAACAGACTTCGACTGCATATTTATCGGCTATTTTATATCTTTAAATATCATCATAGATATTAACATCCGGATTTACATAACTTTGACTGTATATAAACTCAAATTTGTTACATTCTATGAACATAATGAAATTTAAACTTTAAAAAAGTCAGAAGTTTGATTTATATTCTTTTGTAGGCTGATATATTGTTCAATATGCTTGGTCGATATGAATGTAATAGAGTGTATAAATTGAAACGAGGGTTAGTGGTCAGTTGTATGTATTTAGTTTCGTGCTGGTTTTTTTTTCAACCTTGTAGAAATTGGCATTGTGACGAATATGGGTTTTATAATAGTTATATCTGACTTTGAATGAGTTAAACGCAAATTGAGAAACATTTTTCTTTGTATTTATGCTATCTTATGTATTTATAGACATGTATTGTCCGTTTATTTATATACTGAGTGAGTTTGATCTGATAAGTCAGATATTTTAGTGAATAGTAGTTTAGAACATAAAACTTAGTCGATTTATTTTGGTTGTACCTCTTTTTAATGACTTTCATCTTATAGGCCTTGAGGCAGTAATTGCAAGTGAAATAAGTTTTCTTAAAATCATTTTTCCAATTTAATATGATGAATTGAGTATGTACATATATCCATTTAACTGTATAAAAAATATATATGAAGCTAACCGCATCTGCAAATATTTATGTGAAATTAATAGCTATTCAAGTGATAATGATGTGAAATCACGGTTGTATTTTTTCTTTGATTTTGTTATTTTTGATTCGATATGAATTTTAGATTAGCCTTTTTTTTATTATAGTTTGTGTAAAGTAAACGATAGAAATCTTTTAAAAATTAGGAAAAATGATCACTTCTTCGCCATTTAAAGAATACTTTTTTATAATATGAAGAGTTAAATCATACTAATCTCATCAGTGAATACAAATACAGCACAATTTTTTTTCGAAATATAAAAGTGAAATAAAATCAATTTACGAAAAGATTGATGTTATTGTGAATTCGTGAGTGAATCTCAGATATAATTATTATATAAATGCTTGAATCGAATTAATTTTTTATTGAATCGTCGTGGAAGAAACTATATTAGACTTTGTTCGACAATATTCAGTTCTAATTTATAAAATCAAGTCAGTAGTCAACTGTGTAAATATGTACACTTTATAGCTTTAGCTGCTTCGACTGTTTTAAAAAATTTGTATTGCTCTTTTTTAACTATTTTTTTGAAAATTGATTGCGTCTGTATATTTTCCATTACAACGACGTCTTCATTGCTGACGTTCTTTTTTTTAAATATTTAAAGATGCTTTATTTTTTATGAGCTGTTGATATAACACAGGTTTCTTTTACTACAGCATACAAGAAAGTGAATTCATGCATTTTATCTTCTTGTAAAACTTATCATCACCATTATAAGGTCGAATATTATATAGAAGTATTGATTTCTTTTTTTCTTATGTTAATTACAAAGAGAATACTTCTAAGCATCAAACAACTGAAATGAAAAAAAAAACAAAGAGATGATGTAGCATTTTCATAATATTTATTGATTTGATATTATCAGAAGAGTACTCAACGATGATTTTTGTATTTTCTTATCTCGACATTTGTCTAAAATAGTTTAACTTTACAAAATAAAGTTTTTTTTAAATGAAAGGTTGTAAGCGGCTGATTTACTATAGAAATATATTATATTTTAGATTATAATATACAAACGATTTAATTCAAACTAAACATGAACACACAATGTCTTTTTTGTACCATATTGTGTACAGGTTACTGTTGTCCACAATGTAGTCAAATGAATCGTGGTCTAAAATTTACACGGTTGCTTCAAATTTTGGAAAAATGTTCTGAATGTATTATGTACCATGACGAAATCAATTCTGTTGTGCAACGAATTCAACAAGTGAGTTTATTAGATTAATGATTAAATTATGAACAAAAGTTTGTAGATCGAACCAATTCTGATGCGACTTCAATTTCGTCCCACGCAAGTTTTCGATGAGACAAAACACGTAGTAGATATGGTAGCTAAAAAATATCTTGAAAAAGCGACTGGTGATCTACACCATCTTGTTCCGATCGAAGTTACTGCTGATGGAAACTGTTTATACCATTCTATTGTTCTTCTAATGAATAACCCAGCAGTAACAACAAGTGAATTACGAGGTATACAGATTTATTTTTCTTTTATATTATCGTATAATTTATTGTCAAACAATTTTTAGTTCGGACAATTATTGAACTTGTAACAAATGAAAATTATTATGAAAATATGTATTCAAAATACGTCGGACCTGTCAACATCGCTATCAAAGCTATTTGCAAGAATTATACATTTTCTGAATTATATGAAATAGCAGCACTATGCAATATACTTCAATGTAATATACGAAGTGTTTATCCAAAAATTGATTTTCAACAATATATGGCAATTTGCGATAACATCTTTACGCCTGTTTTACCTATTATTGCTAATTGTAACATTGTAATTATGTGGTCACATGCCTTGAATGAAAAAGATGCTCGAGAGGCAAATAATGGCACATGGAGTCCAAATCATTTTGTTCCACTCATTCCACCAGCTATTCATAATGATTCTAACAATGGTGATCAATCAACGTCACTGCCTGTTGTAAGTTATTCATTTATCAATAAAAATTCGACAACTTTGAAATTTATTTAGACTCCTGAAAAAAATACATTTAAGAATAATACTGTTAGTCAAATAAGAACTCCTGTATTCCAGTCTTCTCCTCGTAGACGTCTACGAACTGAAGACAATATCGGAAATAACTTCACTCAACCAATTATTTCAGATTCAATGAACAAGGAAAAAAATGATAAAAAAGAACAACGTCAAAATCAACTTGAGAAGAAAAGAGAACAAAGTAGATCAAGTCGAATGAATGAAACAGAACAACAACGGCAGATTCGACTTGAAAAGCAGAGAGAGCGAAGTCGATCCCGTCGAATGAATGAAATCGAAGAACAGCATCAGATTCAACTCGAGAAGAACAGAGAACGAACTCGATCCAGTCGAAGAAATGAATCAGAAGAACAACATCAAATCCGACTCGAAAAGGAAAAGAAACGAACTTGTGCCAATAGAACAAACGAAACTGAACAACAACATCAAATCCGACTCGAGAAGAAAAGAGAACGAACTCAATCTAACCTAACAAACGAATCAGAAGAACAACGGCAAATTCGACTCGAGCAGCAAAGAAAAAGAAGTCAAAAGAACAGAATTAAAAAGAAAGTTGAAAAAAAGACTCATGAAAACATTGATACTGAGCAAGAAAATACCGAGATGCGGCTCTCCATTCATTCATCTTGGCCTGAACCGATTCCTCGTGACTTGAAAGAAACTCGTTTGCAACAATTTTTAGAACAAATGTCCATGTCAGTACTGGCTGAAGCTACCTGTGCAGTTTGCAATGTCCGTACTCCAGCAAAAGACTCGAAGAAAATACCAATCTCAAAAATTCCTAATATTCATTTACTTAAAGTTCCTCAAGAACTCAATGATTTGACTATAAACATCCAATCGCCACCACTACAACATTCAAGAAGAGACACCGAAATCTCTGCCAACAATAACAATACAAAGATAACGGAGCATGCTAAAAGTAATATATAATTTTTGTAATTTAAAAATTCATACAAACTCTTTATAACTATTTTAGGTCCTTCAATTTTTGATTCACCGTCGTTTTATTGTCAAAACGATGTTATCTTATACAAAAGTGGTTTATTTCAACAAAATAAAGTGGATATGTGTGTACTTTGTCAAAAATGTCATGGTGCTCTTTCGAAGGGATCTATTCCTAAGTTTTCAGCTGCGAATAATATGTGGTTAGGTGATATACCTGCTGAATTACAAGGATTGACGATTCCGGAACAAAAATTAATATCACTCTACCGTCACAACAGCTGTATAATAAAACTTCATTCGCCTTTTCACTCAACTACAACTGCCCAAACCGCACTGAAAGGCAACTGCATTACTTTTCTTCAAAACGTACCAAATATCGTCAATAGTTTACCACTTACACTTCACGATCTATGTGATACACTTAAAGTGATTTTTATTGGAGCTCGACCTCCTGATCGTATTCATCTTAAAAAAGTCCTAACAGTGCGCAAGAAAAAAATTATTCAAGCATTACAATGGCTGAAAAAATACAATGTACTTTATCAAAACGTCAACATAAATCTCGAAAATATTGCTCAATTACCAGAAGACGATGTACCAGAATGCATAATGTCAACATTAGAACAAAAATTAAATGATGAAGAAATTCAATCTGAAAGGACTGGATATGTTCCTGATCCATTGTCTGATCCAACGAAATGTACTACCGCAGACACTATTCCTATTAGTAACAGGTTAGTGCAATGAGACATATTCCCAATTCGCTTATATGACACCTTCGAGGAAAAAAATTGTACCTAAAACAAGAGAATATGTTGTTACAAACGGCTTCTTTTTTTTTATTTTCTTTCTCTTTTGTTCTCTCTTCGA